CTCACATCCTGGACACTCAGCTGGTATCGAGCCGATTCCAGCAGGATGTAAGTAATTTCATCTCTCTGCTGGCCCCATTTCAGTGTGCCCGAAGGAATCCCAGATATGCTGTGTGAAGGTGTGATGGGAAAGCTTGTTCCTAGCCAATGCTGCTGTTCTCAGTTACTGATCTCTCAGGTAAACAGCGCTTAAAAAGAGGTGGCCATCTCACACCACTGGAATTAACCTATTAATTTGCTTTTTGGAAGCTTCATCTATGAACATTTATATTTCTGTTTCTAAGACTTTTTTGCCTTGTGTCCATGTCTGACCTCAGCAGAAGTTCTTAAGAACCCTGTATCACTGCTCTTTTAACTGAAACGGCACAGTTTTCATATTACAGTCTCTTGCTTCAACTTAGATTTTTGTGTTCATAAATAATTTATATACAAGTGGACTACAGACTCTTTACAATACACACTGGAAAGAAAAGTTCTCCTTTAGGAAAAAGGAGTAAAGAGATAATACACCTTGCAAAGATGAGTGATTTAACATACAGGAGATAGTCAGTGTTGCGGAGAACCAAACAGTTCATTGGCTTTTCATCCATTACATTTGGCAATGCTATCTATGAATTGTCCGATAAGACATTCGTGCTCCAACTACTACAAAATGCAGTTTCACCTCCAAAGAGCTATAAACTAAGCACTTGTTACAGTCAAACATGCACAGAAATTGTCCATTTTGTTCTCAAAGTTTGATTTCTTCACTTGTATGACTTGGCTGGCCAAGCCATTGCTGTAACTGGAGCTCAGTGAGAGGTCTCGCAATTTGCAGGTGTTCTGGTTGTAGTCAATACGAATTGTAAGCTATTTTTATTTAATCCTTTTTCAGACACCCAGACTGTGAATCAAGTCTTTGCTTGAGTTAATAACATCCAGGCATACGTATGTGCAGTACAGAATTTGGACACTCACAATGGTGCATATTTCCTGGAAAAAATCAAGAGATCAGTCAAAATTATTCGGCTCGGAAATATGGGTTTTCCTGCTGTCCGGTAACAATTCTTGTTCAGTCCAACATCACTCCTTGATTTCCTGGCATCCTGAGAAACAATATCTTACTTAAGCTGCTGTACAGGCAGCACAAAGAGTTTTTACTGCAGACCCTGGATTTTGAAGCTTGTTTCACTGCGGTGTACTATATACTACAGACTTTATTTTTCAGGTAGCTTTCCATTGGGAGATTTTGCAAGTATTGACATTTGCGTTTCTCCCACCTCGCGTGAGCTTTCTTCATGATGTGACCTGGCAGCGCTTGAGATTGATACGCTCACTTGCCGTCTCAGTATTTTCATTACAGTTCTCTTGTATCCTTTGCATGCAAAGAAATAGATGAAGGGATCCAGGCAGCAGTTAAAATTCATCAGAAATACAGTATAATGGAGTGACTTCTGGAAAACTTTATTTTCAGCACACGAGGGCTCACTCTGAAGCTTCTTAATCATGTGTTTTATTATTGCAACGTGATAAGGGGTGAAGCAGATGATGAACACTATAATTACAAATATGATTGTATTGATGGCTTTTTTGTTTATCCCCGATTTTTCAGTCAGTGGGTTTTCCTTGGCCGTCTGAAAAAGTTTGCAGCTGATCTGAGAGTAGCAAAATAATATAATCCCCAGGGGAATAAGGTACCCTACTAAACAGGCAGCAAGGAGTATAAATGGTAGATGTGCTATTTTTTCAAAGTTTGGATATTCCATGCATGTAGTCCTGTCTATTTCTTCCTGTGACATGGGTTGTATAAGTAACGGGAAAGTCTGACTAAATACAAGAAACCAAATAAAGACACAGATGCCCTTGGCGTATTTAATCCTTCGGATCTTGTATCGGAAGGGGTGGACGACAGCGAAAAACCTGTCGATGCTCAAGCACGTCATGAAGTTGACACCCGCGTAGGTGTTGATGTAGAACAGGAGCGCGGTTATTCGGCACAGCGCCTCCCCAAAGGGCCAGTGAAACCCCAGGGCGTAGTAGGCGATCCTGGTGGGCAGGGCGAGGCAGAAGAGGAGGTCGGAGAGGACGAGGTTTGTTGAGTAGAGGGTGGTGGAGTTGATCTTCTTTCTGTTTTTAAAAATGACAGTGAGGGCAATGGTGTTGCCGAGCACCCCAAGAATTAAGATGGAGCTGTAGAAGACGCTGAGGAGTATCCGTGCTGTGTCCTTGTGCTCGTACAAGTCGCAGGTGGAAATGTTCATATGAGAAGCTGTGAAAGCGTCCATCTCTGTAAGCGCTGTGGTCACAGGAAGCTCAGTAGACCTAACGGATAAAAGAAAACCCCAAAAGGGCACATTTTATAAATGCAGATAAACTTCTGCAGAACAACAACCAACCTCTGTTGCAAACAGCAGGATTGCAAAATACTGAAATGAAACTTCATTATGGTGAAATACTTTTCAAGCCTCAGTCTGAAAGCAAACAAACAAAAAAGGTGGCTTTTTTTGGCTTTTCTGTTTTGATCCCAATCCCTTCTCTCCCGAAAAAAATCAGACAGGGCAAAATGATAAACCAGGGATGTAATCTATTTGGAAAGTGAAACTTTTAGATGGTCAGGAGGTGGGAGGCTGTTCAAAGCAATCCAAGGGGAAAAAGGAATCTGAAGAAACCACGTGATAAATGTTCATAGAAAGTTTCCAAGGGTCAGACAAGCAGACAAAATAATTTAAGTGTGTTTCAGTTAATTTTTAGTGAGTTTTTGTTTAACTTACTCAGAGAAACCGTTTTTTTTCAGGATACTTACCATATTGGCGTATAATTCAGCTTGCTTAATGCTAGCTTTAAGAATTGGCTTTTGGAACTTAATTCAAATATTGTTACATACATAAAATCTTCAGACTACTACTTTAGACACTCTTCGGTGGTGCTACAAGAGAGAGAGAACCCAGCTGAAGTATTTTACACCTTGTCAGTTTAATAGGTTTTAGAAATTGTATAACCTGCACATTCAGAAGTAGCATGGAAGAGCTGCAAAATGGCAGTGATTTGGGGCACTTGAAAATATAAAATCTGATCCAACAGAATTTCAGAAGTGGAAAGAACCCCATCCTGTTGATATTGCTTCCAGTACAGAATATTTCTTAGATGTTTTGTTACCTGGCACTTGCGTAGTGTAAGCATAAGTGTCAGAAAGGATGGGGCATCTGACGTTACTGCTTGGGCAGCTGTTCTCTGGAATGGTGCCTCTTAGAGGTACTTAAATGGATTAAACAGCAGTCAAAACAAGGTTGCTTCTGCTGTACTGCAGAATAGTACCTGGAGATAAAAGCTGCTGTAACCTGAGTTTTAGGTCCATCTGGTACCTTTAATTAAAATATAGAGGTGGTTTCTGAGGATCTGCCTTTCAACACATAATATTTACAAGTAACTGCAGCCTGTTGTAGCTTAGAAGATATTTCTGGAAAATGCCTCTCAGTTCTAAGGGTTTTAAACTACACATTTTAGAAAGTATTCATTATCCTTTTATTAACTTGTGAAAGCATTAAAGGGTTAGTGTCTTCTTTCATGTTTTGAGGAGATTGCCCTACTTATTTCAGGTTGTTCACAATTAATGTACCTGCAGCTTGTACTGTGTTATAAGTCAGTCTGATCAGACTTTTTGCTAGTTTAGGAGGAGTGCATAATGTTCTCTGTTAAACAGTAAATCTGCAGATAGTGGGTGATGTGTATTAACATACATAAATGTGTTAGATTGCTTCTGTTTAAAGAAGAAATGTAGCATCCAGATAGCAAATACAGATTTAATATACTGTGGTGCTCAGTAGGAAAGACAGGTGAGTGATTTCCTCCTGAGAGCTGTATAATGTTCAAATTCTTAGATACCCATGGAGTCTGTACCATGTGGGAATGCTGCACTCGGGGTTGGAAGTCAAATCTGAAGTGGGAGTTCTGTGGTGTGAATAAGGGCATTAAACTGGCAAGTAGCAACTCCAGCGGTAGAGCGAACATCTGTGATTTACTATTAGTTAATTCTACATCATGCACAGTATCTTGGTGTTAGTGTGTTTGCTGATTGATTAACATAGCGGTTTTACCCTGAGGATAGCTCTGGTATACTTTCCTCCTGTTCTGTCTTTTCTCTTATAGAAGTGTCTAGGATGGCTCTTGTTTTACACAAGTGTAACAGACCGCAGAAAACGGTGTGGGTTTGTGTAGGCACCTAGGTAAGAGTCAGTGAGGTATTTTGTTTTGTTTCTTTCATTTAAATGCTTCTGATTACTTGTTCACATGCCTAGCATGACATCTATCTTCTACTTATCTCTTCCTTAAATGTAGGTAAAATCATTCCTTAAACATATGTAAGGAAAAATAATCTATGAATTATGAAAAACAGTTCTATTGCAGCAATTAGCTACAGCCTATTAACTGCATCATTTTATTTTCACTGTAAAGTTGTCGTAGTTTTGGTTCATAAATAACGTGCATAATTGTCATGCCTGTTCATTTGTCTTTCTGTAAATGTTTGTAAGATGTAGAGTGTCTGTTCCACGAACACATTTAACTGTGGTTCCATACTTTGAGTGAATTTATTTTTTTTTACATCAAGTAGAATTTTGTGAAACATGTTACCTAGTTTTGTGTTATGAAGTCAGATCTTTAATGAAGTAAATTAATCTTTGTTGTTGCTCAAAATAGGATGTTCAGCCTCGCATAAAACCATGGCTGTATTGAAAAGAAGTGCTGGCTGAGAGACAGTTTGTGTCTTTCCATGATGTTAGCATGGATATTCGTGGGGAATGTCCATGGCAGGACACACGGACCACAAGCAGATGAGAAGAAAGCTGGGGGACCACAGCTCATGGCCCTTCCAGGGCAGTGTGCACAGCAGCTAAGCTGTGCTCCTTGACAGAGGATGTGGGATTCAGCCCTGTTGTGGAGAAAGGGTTCTTCCTGATCCTCTGTTATACCCAAAATATTCTGGCTGTTAATGTAGAGTGCACATTTTAAAATACTCTAGATAAGCAATTGTACTTTGTTTATGTGTCGGTATATATGGGCATTTTTGAGCAGTCACCGTGGTGTCTAGGTGCTCTATTAGCTGAATATATTTCATTTAAAAAACCAAACAAACCCTCAAGATACTGTCTGTGTTTTGGGGCCCAAAGAGATTATAAAGTTGCTATCATGTAACGACTTAATGTGCATCAGCTGAGCTATGGTAACTTCTTTGTTTGGATGAGCTCCATTCACCTCAGCAGGTATTTCACCTTTTCTTCTCTATCTTGAACAAGGCTGCATTAAAAAAATACTTTCTAGCTAGAAGATCTCTGGATTATTAAGAAGGAAAAGAAGACTTTTTTTTTTGAGTCCTATTCCTTGTGTCAGGTTGCTGGTTGTTGGCAGCAATCCTTAGTGATCAGCTTGTTATACCTACAGAGCATATGCCATCCTCCACAGAATGTATCTGACAAAGCAGCTGCAGGCCCATTTTGGGTTCTTTTAGTGTGTTTTGCATTCTTGGAGCAAAAATGGAGAATGCTACCTCCTTACTGCTGTAAACCTCAGACTAACTGGGCTTGATTCTTACTGATTTCAATGAGCTGTGTGCCTGAATACCTTATGGGAACATGGCCGTTGAATGTCATGAATCCAGATGCACCATTGACCCTCTAGAATCACTACCCGAGTGTTTGGTCCTCTAGGTTGTTGGATTGAATACCCCTCCACAGTGGCCTTCTGAGTTTATTAATGGTACTTAAAAAATTACCAATTTAATAATTTTAGAAAATGTTGCCACAACTTTTTGGCATAGTTACACATGCAGACTTATAAGGCATAAAGTATGAGTTAAGATTCTTGTCTTTATATTGGTATTGTAAAGAAGGCTGTTCAGGTTTTTACTTTTTCCTGAGTCTACAGACACACAGTGCTCAATAACACAGGCCTGTAAAGTTGTAGTGCAAAGAGACCACTTGCTCATTTAGTGTGACCGCCTGTATAATCCAGGTTATGTTATTATTTTAGTTATTTGTCAATGGATTCCACTAACTTTACCTTTAAAGTGTATTTTCCGAAATGCTCTTTGGTTTTAATTTGGAGAACTGAAGAGAAAGCAAATTAGCCATTTGTACTGTAGTTTTTGGTCAGTTAACCTCCCTTTTAAAAAATATAGGTGTCTTTTATTTAAATATCTTTAAAATTAATTTGCAGATGCTGTTCTTGTTGAGCCTTTCCCATATATACAGCCTCATAGTTTTGGCAGTTCACGGTGAACTTCTCCGTCTCACCACAAGGCTAAACAGTCTTGTGACCTCTGTTCTAACCCCAGCTTGGTCCCACACAGGAGGTGGTGTTCCAGATGCTTCTTGGGTATCGGTGCACCCGGAAGCATCCTCACCACTGCCTCCCTGCCTTCTCTGCTCAGTTGGTTTGGTACCCGAGACAGATATGCATAGCATTGCACTGGGAGTTCTTGAATTTTATTCACTGTGATCCTGGAGTACTTCTCAGGTTCACTTTGTCCTAGGATATCTCCAGTCTATGGGCATGGCCATGGCTCTCTGCTTCTACCTGGGAGGACCTTACGCCTGGGAGAGTTTAAAATTATCTTTACTATTATGCCCAGGCTTGCAAACAGCACAGATTATTCTTTATTGTTCTCTCACTTGCCATTTTCAAGGCTTAGCATTGTATTTGTTTTCTGACTAGTAATGGAAAAAGTTTCACTTTTTGTTAGCTGGCCAGCTTTTCGTCTATTCTGTGTGCTTCCTTGATGATTGATAGCAACAGTATCCACTTGACGAAAATAATCACAGTACCATGTCAAGCTGCTTGCAATACCTTGCAAGTTTGAAATCTGTGCAGGTGGCTTTCTAAGCCAATTTTGTAATCTCATCAAAGAAGGAAAGTAAGTTGTTTCAGGAGATTGGTTTTCTGTGAAAACATTTGACTGACATTATTTATTTGGTTTACATTTAAACTGCAGCCAGCTCAGAGTAGTGTGTCTGCTACAAAAGGGGTCTGATGAACAGAGCAGTGGCTGCCGTCTGGAAGTCCTATGTGATCCAAAGCCCTGGTTCATAGTCATGCTAATGTATGATGAGCTTTATGTGTAGTATCATAATGTCACATACATTTGACTGTTACCAAGCTATGGTAATATTTGACTTTATTTGACTGAAGTTATGAGCCAGCATTTGCCATGTTGCAACCTTGGATTACATGGATTTGGATTATGTGCAAGCAGTGATACAGAGCTGTTGCTCTCTGTATGCTAAATGAGTTTTCTTGTTCTCGTCTCCTGCTTTTGCTGAAGGAGCACCATCTGTCTTTTCAGCAGAACAGGAAACATGTAAAGGGCTTTAACTGTGTATTGTAACCTAATATGTGATTTGCCTGTCTCTTCCTAATTTTCGTTCTTTGCGGATGAATCCCTGGTCCATCTGTCCAGTAGCTAATTTAAGAGGGATATCAATTAAATTCTTGGAAAGGTGAGGCAGATCATTAGAAAGATCTCTCCTGGATCTATACATAGTATGATTTAGGCATCTGGACATGGATGAACCATATTTCTTTAACAAAGAGTATTGGGGAATAATGTTGTTTATGTCTGCATAAAGAGTGTAAATGAGTTAAAAGGAATGGCTGGGAAGGAGTCTTCTCTTTACCTGCAGTGCCTGATCTGAGGATTTACTGAGCTTACAGCCCTCTAAATGTGTAAGCTATGTAACTCTTATAGAGTTTAAAAACAGTAGAAGATGGGAAATATGCAATCCTCTGGTTGTGTTTTCCCTAATCTCTAAAATTGTTTTCTTTTGACTAGTCATATTTGCTGTTTGAATTTCTAATACACCATAGAAGTAAACTTCATAGTAGAGTGTTTTCTGTGTTTGAGAAAAGGCCTTGATTTGACTAATGTACGTTAAAAAATGTGAATGCTAAGTTGCACAGTTGTTAATACAGAAAGAACAGATACCTAAGGTGCTTATATCTGGTTGAATATATTGGCAGCTTGGGAACAACACGTGGTTTAATAAAAGCTGAGGCAAGAGACAGGCGTGTCCTAAAGCTTCCTGTTTCTTTCTAATACTTTAACACTCGAGCACTTCTAGTGCGTTATGCTGATTTACTGTTCTTCAAACCTGTGGAGTTTTGTGTCCTAAATTACAACGAGAAGGCCTGATGACCTGCAGACTGAATTCCTAGGTCACAACCCACGGCTAACTTTGAGAGAGTTTCTAGGCTGGTGCTTTAATTATTCCTTAGTGTAGACCCAGATTTGGTGGAATACTAAAGCCAGATTTGTAAGCCACACTCCAGAGAATTCAAAGTCTTCCTTTCATAAATTAATTCTCTTAATGATGTCTATGAAGCATTACGATATTCTTTAAGTTCTTAACAGAATTTGCAGATGTGTGCACTGTATGTAGGATATTTCTAGTCCTGCTTTTATATCTTACTATCTGTTTTGCAAAGCTGTGTGACAGTTACATTTGGCGCTCAAAAATAGTAGAAGCTGCAATAAGCGAAATGGAAATAAAGAAGTTGAGTTGAAATGCTCCACAACCAGTTAAAGAAAAAGTGGAAGTCATTTGAAGTGTACATGTCTTGCTCTTATCTGTTGGATCTCTCTTTCCAAATGTGATCCGTCCTATGAAGATGTGAGAACTATCTACTATAAATCAGCTCTGCTAAAGTCGAATGTTGGTGTGAAGAGCTGTGCTGATGCTGAGATGATTAACCTCCCTGCTGTTTATTCACCTAGGTATACTCAGTTTAAAAAGGAGAGGGCATAAAATACAGCAAATATACAAAAGAAGAACAAAAGAATGCCACTGACAGTGACATTCCTGC